GCTCCGCCTCCCTGGAGGCGCTCCCGGAACCGCAGCCGGGAGGGGGCGTAGGGGCGAAGCCCCCGGCTCCCCGGAGCCGTCGGCGCCATCGCTTCTCGGCCTTTTGGCTAAGATCAAGTGTAGTATCTGTTCTTATCAGTTTAATATCTGATACGTCCCCTACCCGGGGACCATGTATTAAATTGATTTTTGGAGCAGGGAGACGGAACCCGGGGCTCGCTCCGTCCGCTCCACGCATCCGCCCGGTATTGCAGTACCTCCGGGACCGGTGCGCCTCTTCTCTCAGGTAAATATAAAACCGCCGTCTCCTCTCTCTCTCTCTCTCTCCCGTCCTCTCGGCCCGTGTCCCGTCTGCGCGTGTTTTTCTCCGTCTTTCCGGGTTTATTTGTCCCCCTCTTTTCCCGCTCCTGCCTGGTTTTCTCTACTCTTTCCCCACCGCCCGCCTCCTGCATTCATCCAATGTTTTTTCCCTGTCAGGCTGGCAGCTTCCTTCCTTCCTTCCTTCCTTCCTTCCTTCCTTCCTTCCTTCCTTCCTTCCTTCCTTCCTTCCCTCCTTCCTCCTCCCTCCCTCCCTCCCTCCCTCCCTCCCTCCCTCCCTCCCTCCTTACTTCCTTCCTTCCGGAGTCCTCCTGTAGCCACATTGCTCTTCCCGCTGCCCACGCCTTGTGCAAACGAGTTGCTGTAGCCTACGCGAAAAGAGAGCCCTTTGCCCCCCCGCCCGCCCGTGACGGGTGGGCGGGGGGCCCGGCCTGCTGGCCGGCGTGCGTCCCCTCTGGCCCGACACTCTTGTTTCTCTTCAGATCGTACAAATCTTTCGCCTTTTACTAAAGATTTCCGTGGAGAGGAACAACAAGAGATTATCTCAATTTTTGAACGCCCCGTCTCGCGGCGGGGCTTTGCGCCTCTGTCCAAAGTAACTTTCCGTCCTCCGCGCGCACGGCCGTGCCGTCCGCTTAGCCGGTCTTTCGGCGTCGCGTGGCCTAGGTCTGGGCCTAAATGTCGTCCCGGCGGTGCCCGTTTGACTTTTTCCCTCGTCCGCGCGAACGTTCACGTGCGTTAGTTTGCCGCTAACCAGAGGCCGCTGGCTTCGGGGGAGGGCGGGCAGGCAGGCCCGAGAGCTCCTCCTCGGGGTCCGCCCGCCCGCTCTCGGCCATCCGGACCCCGCGGACCGTCCCCGGGCGGCCGCTCCGCCGGGAGCAGGGGCCGGGCTCCGGGAGTAGCGCCTCATACTTACCTGGCAGGGGCGACACCGTGATCACCCAGGCGGTTCGCCCAGGGCGAGGCTCGTCCATTGCACTCCGGAAGTGCTGACCCCTGTGAATTCCCCAAATGTGGGAATCTCAACTGCATAATTTCTGGTAGTGGGGGACTGCGTCCGCGCTCTCCCCTCATCTCTCCTGTCCAAAGAAACAAGTGTGTCTCTCTCTTTATCTCCCTCCCCTCTCTTCTCTCTGTCTGTGTCTCTCTCTCTGCCCTGAGAGCTGAAGCGGCGCGCGTACTCAACCAAACTAACTTTAGTCCGGTCTACAAACTCATTTTTCCTCCTCTCCAGGGAAGAAGCTTTCGTCCGCCCCGTCGGCAGTCGGGTCGGTCCCGGGTCGGTCGGACCGCCTCGAGTCGGGCTCCCTGCCGAGGAGGAGGAGGCGGATCGGCTGCGCAGGATTCCAAGCTCCGCCTCCCTGGAGGCGCTTTGCGGCCAGGGGGGGCGTTCGGCGAAACCCTATCCCCCACTTTTTTGGGCTAAGCTTCTCGGCCTTTGGCTACGAACGTCAAGTAGCTTTTTTAGATTATATGGAACAGGACTTTTATTTTTGAGTCCTGGATTTGAGCAAAATATTGTCCAAACTGCAGCACAATTCAGGAGTTAAAGCTGTGTTCAAACCGCGGCATCGAAAAACACGTCGGACACCTTTCTGTTTGAATCTGCGAGTGCTTTTGGATGTTGTGTACAGGAGTCTTCTCCTCGATGCATCGACACAATTCCAAAGACATTTTAATAAACCGTGGCACTTTCCACAACCTCCAGTGACACACTCATTATACAGAGGTCAGGACTTGGGTCAGGACTTGGGTCTGGGGTTCTGTGGTGTCACATGCTCCAATTTCAAAGCCATTTCTGTGCAGAGAAAAGAAAAGGACAGTCCTGGAAATCTACTTATGAGCCGTCGAATCATCTCTGTTGTTTTATTTTCTCCCTGCAGAGTAGCGATGGTCATTTGAACATTTAAAAAGGGGGCGTGTCGAGTGAAGCCCCGATTCGAGGCTCACGTCAGGTTGTCAAAAACCACGTGACCTGTGAACGTGAGGCCATTGGTTCATTTAGGCTACTGCTTTTTTTAAATTCACTTTCACTTTATTCTAACTTTCACCTGCTAAAAGAAGCTTTTTTTTATTTATGGAGCATTTTGGTTTTACTACCAGAACATGGTCGTGTAACCTACACATTTTCTTGTATTAGTTTTTTTCACTGAATATGACGTACAGTCAGTTCAACATTCTTACAGCTCAAACATTGTATTTGTTTTATTTAAGCACATTTCATGGATCATGTCACTGCTGAAGTGGTTCAGAGACTGAATCAGAAGAAGCAAGATCAGCACTAGGACAGTTTATTGTCGTGTTGTCTGTCTCTGTCTCTGAGGTGTTTGTGTGCTTGATGTGGACGGTGCTTAAAATAAATACTTGATGCAGAAGAAGATTAGAGAAATGAGGATCTTTTTTATTTGATAAATGTAGCCGAGTGTGATGTTTTAAATGAAACAAGATTCCACAGATCAGTGTTTGGTTTATGCAAAACAACTTTCTCCAGCTAAACTCTGACAAGACTGAAGTCATAGTGTTTGGTCCACAGAAACAAAGGGACAGTGTCAGCATCACCTCCAGTCTCTCTCTCTAAAACCTTCAAATCAGGCAAGAAATCTAGGGGTAATAATGGACTCAGACTTGAACTTTAACAGCCACATCAAATCAATAACATCTGCAGCCTTTTACCATCTAAAAAACAGAGCAAAAATCAAAGGTTTAGTGTCTAAATCAGACTTTGAGAGAAACTTATCCATGCGTTTGTCTCCAGTAGGTTAGATACTGTAATGTTCTGCTCACTGGTCTCTCCAAACGAGCTGTGAGACGCTGCAGAACATCCAGAACATCCAGAACATCCAGAACATCCAGAACATCCACAACATCCACAACATCCACAACATCCAGAACATCCAGAACATCCAGAACATCCACCACAACATCCACAACATCCCCACAACATCCAGAACATCCAGAACATCCACAACATCCACAACATCCACAACCCAGAACATCCAGAACATCCACAACATCCACAACATCCACAACATCCACAACATCCAGAACATCCAGAACATCCAGAACATCCAGAACATCCAGAACGCTGCAGCTCGGGTCCTGACTCGAACTAGGAAGTACGAGCACATAAGTCCTGGTCTCAGGTCTCTGCTCTGGCTCCTGTGGCTCAGAGACTTTAAAGCAGCTCTGTTTGTACAAGTGTCTCCATGGTCGAGCACCAAAGTCCATCTGTGACATGTTAGTGTCATATGAACATCTCACACTCTGAGGAGCTCAGGGACCAACTCCTGCTGGTGCCAGAGTCACGACTAAACAAGGGGAGTCAGAGTTTCAGGTTCATGCAGCTAAAACCTGGAACAGTCTGAACATGTGAGACAGACTCTTCTGTGACGCTGTTTAAATCCAGACTCTAAACATTTCTCTTTAACTGTGCAAATAACTGAAAGGTTTTCATTCCGCACTCTTCTCTCCAACTTAGGTCTCTCTTTTTTAATTTTAATCTTTATTTTTTACCGGAGCCACAACATGAACAACTGACTTGTTTTAAGGAGGAGATTGAGAAGGAGAAGGACCAGGTTTTTGGTGGTGGTGTTTTGTGGTGAGTGGAGATGTGCTTCACTTCAGTCACATGGATCATGAACAGTTTTCTCTACTTCAGTGCAGAATAGTGACGTTTGTGTCTTGTTGATGACGTGTAGGTGGATGAATGTGACCTGACTGTTCACACTCAAGTCACATGTTAAAGATCAGATATGGATCAGTTTCAGGAGCACAGATCCAAGTGTCCTGGGTCATGTTTGAAAACATCAGATCTGTGTGGTTCAGACTCACATTAAAAGATCAGATACAGGAACATAGAGACAAAAAAATTGGATTTGGGTCACTTCAGGTGCAGACTGAACGCAGCCTAAGACACTTGTGTACAGTTTGTTTGGTGACAGGATTATTGAATTACACACGTCAGCCTGAGTCATATTAACAGAATCATTTATGTCTGTGATGGGCGAGTTTAAGATGATTTAATGATTGAACAGTTGTAGTGTCTGTGTCTGACCGTAGTCCGTCTGTATGAGTGGACAGAACTAACGCTGTAGGTGCCGTGTGCCGAACAGGAAGTGCTCCAGGAGGCTCTTCCGGCTCCTTCTGACTCTGGCTCACATTGACTTATGTTAGGATCTTGTGGCTCGTCTGTCTGGACCTGCTGCTGTGGACTCAACATTTTGGTTTTAAAAGGCCCATCTCCTGCAAAATCAACTTTTCAGATCTTTCTACCTTCTCAGAGTGATGTGATGTGTGGGCCTTGGATTTGTCGCCCAAGTGGTTTTTAGTTTGATTTAGTGTTTTTTTTTAGTTTTTTTTTTATAACAATTTGCAGTGTTTTTCTGCCTCTCTCCCACATGACGACAAACTAAAGCTGCTACAAGGATGATGCGACAGATTCACCTATGTCACACCCTCCCCCGCTCCACCGCTTCCGCCCTGCATCAGCCGACAATTCCCACATGAACCTAAACAAAAGCGACAGCAGAAGCTCTTTGTTCTACTACAGTTACATGATATAATAAGTTTATCTTCTCATGTTTATTAAAACTTTACCAATCAGTAATGTTCAGCTGATGTGGACGAGGTGCTTGAGCTTCATGCTCCTCAAAGTCCTGAATACCAGGACTAAAACCAGGACTAAACCAGGACTAAAACAAGACTAAAACCAAGTCTAAACCAGAACTAAAACAGGATTTAACTGGGGCTAAACCATTACCTCAAAGTCCTTGTCTGATTCCAGGTCCAACACATGCGGCTGAACGCGCTGTGTCTCCATGATGAATAAAAGTTTATTCCTGCCGCTGTCAGGGTCACGTCTGTCTCCCCCTCCCTCCCTGAGATGGCGGAGGAAGGGCGGCTCACCCAGAGCCTACGCCATGTTTGGAGGGCGGAGCCTGTGCTTTCTCAGGACGGTCGGGGGGAGGAGCAATAGTCGGACTTTAATAGTTCCTGGTCTGTGACTGATCCAAGAAATCAGGAAGATTTCAGAACTATTGTGTAATGGATGTTCCAAAACCCAAACTGTGCTTGTTTATGTGCAGAAGATACAATGTGAAAAGAGTTATTTTACATCACATGGATATTTAAGATGTTCGTATTAACCCATGACACATGATCCTGAATTTTTATTTATTTTTTTGCTGTTTTGTCCGTCAAAAGAATCCTGTTCATAACTCTGAGCCTGACTCTAGATTTGCTCCTGTAACCGTGAACATCTGGAGCCTCATTTGAGCGACGCTGGAGTCTGTGGGTGATTTCTTTTACACACTCTGTGGTTCTGGCATTATTCAGTCACATTTAAACGACCAGCAGGTGGCGGTGTTCTGAAGTCTGGGCCCTGCAGCGCCACCACATGGACGGGTTCAGCTGTTCAGGTTTTAACTCCAAATCTTTTGAGGTGAAACAGCAAAACAATCAAAGGCAAAACCCGAAATATTAAATTTGTGCTTTTCTCAAACACCCAGAATACAAATTATTTTATTGACGTTTTTATTTATAATATTTTGTATTTGTGTTAAAATCACCAACACAAAGT